TTCTAATTTATATGGTTTGACCTTTTCTAACCATTTTATTCCTAGTGTAATGTTTTTATCTCCTTGATATATTTTAAAATTTATTAATATTGGTATTCCTCCAATAATTAATTCCTTTTCAGTTGTTTCTTCATTTTTTCTTAGTGCTTTTGGTAATTCTGAATTTTGCTGTTCTATTGTTACTATCTCTTGTTCTGGTATTAATTCTCTTATAACATAATTCTCTTCTTGTCCTGTATTTATTAATATTAAATATTTTCTTTGGTCCATTATTCCTGTTATATAATAATGATGTGGGTTTATTTCTTCTATTTTTTGTTCTATTAATTTTTGTGGAGTTATGTAATCTATTCTTCTTGATGTACTTATTCTTGATGATGTCTCCGGTATCTCATTACTTGTTCGTTTTGACGTGCTCAACCTTTCTTTTACTATTTCTAAGTCTTCTTCTATATCCATTTCTTTATAACTATAATCATTGTTGTCTATAACTGATACTATTCTTTCGAACGGATTTTCTATTTTAATTTTATTTATTTTATTTTTAGCTGTTATCTTATATTTTGTTGTTTATCATATAGATTTTTACATCTTGTTGTGAATATTTTACTTCCTGGTGCTAGTTCTATTCCAGACATTTTCCAGTATAGCACTAATGATTTATCTATATTTTTATCATCTATTGCCACTGAATAGTTGGCACTTATTATGAATTTAAATTTTTGGTATATTAAGTTACCTCTTACTGCACTTATTATACTCTTTTCTATAGGTTGTACACTTCTATCGTCTGCCAAGTATATTTTTATAGGGGTATCTATTCCCTCTCTAAAACATGCTTTTATTAGTATCTCTGTTCCTCCTAAATGTACGTATTTTATTGGGGTTTTTGCTTTTATATCTTGTATTTCTTTATTTAATAGTTTTTTATTTAAAATTGGTATTCTTGCTTTACCTTTAATGTATTTACGGTCTATTATCTGTTCTCTTTGGCTTACTACATAGTATTCTTCTTTTTGTCTTTTAAACCAATTCTTTATTATTGCTACTTCTAGTATTTTGTCTATGCTTAGATCCAATTCTTTTTCTTTTATTTGTTCAAATATGGTGATGTCAAATATTATTTTTTGTTCTGAAGATTGTTCATCTTGGTGTTCTTCTTGTTGTATAATTTGTATATCTTTTTCAGTCATAATTATCTTCGTCTGATTCTTCTATTATATTATTATTTATATCCTGAGAATTCATTTTCTGATATCTCATATATGCTGTCTTCACTTCCTAATTCATAATCTATATACTCTATTTGTGTATATTTATCATTGTCTATCATTATTTCTGTAATTTGTTTCTTCTTTGGATTTTTTGGTAATTTGCAATCTTTAGCTAAGTGTCCTAGCTTTCCACAATTGTAACAAGTACATTCTGTTAGTTTTTTCTTTTTTCTATATGGTTTTTTATGTTTGTAATTTTTTACATAATATCTTCCTCTTGGTTTCTTATACTTATATTTGGATTTATATCTTTTTCTCCTTCCTTCTTTTTTGTAATATTTATCTGTGCAACCAAATTGGGGTGCTGTTCTATTTTTGCAGCATGCCAAATTTTTTACTAATATTTTATCCATTTTGATATTTTCTTTATATTTTTCACATAATTCTATAAACCAGTTTTGTAGAAATTTATTCGAGCTCCTAGAGTATCTGCTAGTTCTGCTTCATTCCAATTTTTTATTATTTTTGAGCTAAAAGGTTCTGGTAATTTGGTAAAATATAATTTTCTTATTTCCTTACTTTCATCCGGACTATATGTTCCTTTATAATAATAGTTTCTAAATGCACAAGTATATTCGTCTATATAACACATATTACATATTGCTAATTTTGTCATTAAATTTCTATTTGTAGTCTTTTCTTTATTTTGTTCTTCTACTTCTGTTGTCATACTACTAAATTCATTTCTTATTGCTATTTCATATTTATTCAATATATCTGTAACTGTTGTTGCAGCTGTACCATCAAGTTTTTTATTACTTCTTAATGTATCTAAGCTTTCACTTGTTAAATTTTGTAACCATAGTTTTACCGTTCCTATGAGTGTTCTTTCTATATATCCTGGTGTTTCAGCTATTACTATTTTATTATCTATTAGTTGTTTTGAGATATATCTTATCCACAATTGGATTGTTTCATTTATATCTGCTACACAATCTAGATCTAAAAAATTACATTGTTCAGTTATCTGTCTTGGTATCCATTTCCTATTTAGCCTTTTATCCCATAATGTTTTGTTCCTATCATATGAATCATAACTTACTCTGTAATAGGTTGGGTTTAGTTGTCTTGGATTTTTTACTCCTGATGTGCTTGGTTTATCTTCGATCATATCTCCTGTATTTATTTCTGGATTTGTTTTTATCTTTTCTGTTTTTTCTATAAGTTCTGTGTATGTCTCACTTGTTTCTGAATAGTTTTCTCCTAGATNTCTGGATTTGTTTTTATCTTTTCTGTTTTTTCTATAAGTTCTGTGTATGTCTCACTTGTTTCTGAATAGTCTTCTCCTAGATCTTTGTCGTAATCACTTTGGTCATTTATTCCGTTTATGCTTATATTTGGTGGATTATCTTGTACCTCTTCTAACTGTAATTTAAATT